CTAGCAGATTAAACAGAGCCACCTTTACCTTGACTGCTAACCTGGAAACTTGGACTCACCATCAGGACTTTGATAAGATTCTTCTCAATCTTCGACTTCTGCTCCTCCTTCAAGGTTGAAGCTACAAGACAAGATGTATTATAGCAAGTGCTTAGTTTAGTTTTATACTCAAATGTTGTGTGTTTTGTTTTACACATCTTAGGATCTATGACAAATCAGTTGTCAGCAGTGTGTGCTGAACTCTGAAGAACAGGATGCAGCATTTGGACAGCAGCTCTACACAGAGCAGGCTTCCTAATTAACCAGTTAAATGATGGGTTGTACAGGAATGACAATAAGAATTGAGAATTGACAGAACTGAGGTTTGTGCGTTGTGATTTCATGGAGCCTGACACTTCAGATCATGTTCCTGTGATAGGTCAGGCTGCCGCTCACCTCTGCCCAGCAGCTCCATGCAATAGATGGTGTAGTCCTTCACACTGGCCATCAGATAAGCACAGCGCAGAGCTGTGGTCAGTATGGAGGTCAGCAGAGCCCACCATCGCTCTGTGCGATAGTCACACATCACGTAGTCCAGCAGCCTGTAACACAGCACATGAGCAAACCAAAGCTGTGCATACAAGTCTTACATGAAAGGGATCCTTATACGTGCAGCATCTGACTTACTTCAGAGCTTTCGTATAGTCTTTCGCGTGGTAATATTCTTCTCCCATCTGCACCACTGAGGAGACACAATCAGACAAACACTAAGAGGACTGTTGTGTGATTCAACAATACATAAAACTTCACATGCAACAAACCCATCCTGGATGGTTAAAACGGTCACATTTGTTCATAAGAGCTGATCTCACTTTGCTACCAGCTGTTCATACTTGTCATCTCCTGCATGGACCAAAGCTTGAATAATGTCTGCCTGATAAGTGCAGAGTTTAACTTAAGGAAACAGCAATGAAAATTTATAACTGAGCATAAAATATGAAGCAGCGATACGCACTGAGGTGACTCTTCATTCGAGGACACTTGTACTTCTTAAACTGGGCGACAGCGTTACTGAGCAGCGCTATAATCAGCTCCTGCAGAGACGGAGAGAAGCACGTTTAATCCAGCAGCACAGCAGAGCAGCAGCTACACAGAATAAAACATCTCTGAAGGATCGATATTCACGAGCTGGAGGGGAGTGAAGCACTGTGTTATTTATTTCTAATAGTAAAACGCCTACAGCTGTGATGCTGGAGGCTCTACATGTGAACAGGTTTATGTCCCACGACATCAGAAACACAAGCTCACACTGTTCCAACCCGACTTTACCTCTGGGTTTGGGACTCATTTATTCTCCATTTGAAGGTTTGTCAATCCACACACATCGCAAACACGCTGAGGCAGCAGATCATCGTACAGTCTCAGGTTTACGTCCCCTTAACAGCAGTTTAACTGGAATCACATGTAAGTTATACTCTTCCTGGTTTTCACTTTAACCCTCTAAACCCCAAAAGGAGCAGAGAGGAGACGAGGACGGAAACTCTGTAGAGTCACATTTGATTTGTTCAGGTGTCAGTAGCATCTGTGGACCACCTGGAAACAGGTCGGACATGTTGTTTCCTGTTATTATTTATATATTATAACTTTATTGTGCTGCACAAAATCATTGTCAGGGCTTTTTCTCTCTTTCTTCATGCACTTTATATGTCAGTGAGACATGAACCACAGTGAAGGTAAAGGAGCAGAAGTTTGTTCTTACAGAATGTGGAACATCTCTCTCTTTGATCTGCAGAGACAGAATCCCCGTCTTCTCCTTCTCTGCATCTGGAGGATCAATACCTGCAAATACCACAATAAAGAAGTCATGTTTCACTTCTGTAGCTGACATTTCCCTCCAAACACAGGTCAAATAATCTCCATTCTCTACCGTCATGTGATTATTAGGAGCTGACGGAGATACGAACAGCTGGTGGCGCTCACGCTCCAGTCAGAGACAGCACAACGCACAACCTGCAGGTCTCCACTCAACGATCTCATGCACTGATCGCAAACATGCATTAAAATGAGTGGATGGAAGACGACACATAGACACAGTAATTACCAGCAACAACTAATCACCATGACGCTGTTCTCAGAAATATGCAAACCAGCACTTTCCTCCATCTCAGTTTGTTCAGAGAGTCAACAGACTGTGACTGTCGTAGTTTTCAGATTCAGAACAGTCACAGTGAGAACGTATCTGCATCATGGAGACAACACGGTCAGAGAATCCAGGTTCAGGGTTGGAGGTCCGGTTGGGGAGGTTCAGGTCCAGGGTTAGGGTTAGTTATTGGGGCTATTTAGGGTTAGTTGGGTTAG